TTTCTTTTCTTTCTTTTTTTTGAGACAAAGTTTTGCTCTTGTTACCCAGGCTGGAGTGCAATGACGAATTGGCTCACCGCAAACTCCACTTCCTGGGTTGAAGCAATTATTCTGCCTCAGCCTCCTGAGTAGCTGGGATTACAGGCATGTGCTACCATGCCTGGCTAACTTTGTATTGTTAGTAGAGGTGGGGTTTCTCCATGTTGGTCAGGCTGGTCTTGAACTCCCGACCTCAGGTGATCCACCCACCTCGGCCTCCCAAAGTGCTGGGTTACAGGTGTGACTAAGCTGTAATTTTCTTAATCCTAAGGATTGGAGAATGTAATAGAGATTACTAACTTTTTTAAAAAATAACAGCTTTGTTGAGATATCATTCATATACCATTCACTTCACCTCTTCAAAGTGTACAAATGAATGGTTTTTAGTATGATCACAGGTTGTGCAACCATTACAGCAATAAATTTTAGAACATTTTCATTACTCCTAAAAGAAAACCCTATATCCATTGTAAGGTTTTTTTTTTTTTTTTTTTTTTTTTTTTTTAATACTCAAATAAGTTTATGTTTTTTGTTCATGATAAAGCTGTCTAGGCTAATATCAAGGTTTTAAAATTTAGGCTAGGATTGGAAGTTACATTATTTTTTTAAAGGGAAAATGAATTAATAAATAACAGTATTGCATCCAGCCTTTCAATGAGATGGAAACAAGGACATACATCTCTGCTTTGCTCCATCCTCATCTATCAAAGTGACGAACATTGTGTGATGATTGGTAGCCAGTGCCATATTTTAGGGACTTATTTTGAATTAAATAGGTAGTAAACTGACTAATATTTCTGCTCAGTGAGTAGGTGTGCTTTATTCTGCTTGCAGTGGGAGAACTTAGTTCAGAGAACCTTTTCCATAGATGCGTGATTGTTTTCTGTACATACTTGAATTAGGCTGCTGTGCAGCTAATTCAGCTTTGCTGCATTTTTTTTTTTTTTTAAATAAGCCTCCCAATTTAATGGCTTTTCCATAGACTGCCTTTAGCGTGGCCTTGCTAAACTGATAGATGTCACTTTACTCAACATAGGCTGTAGCCCAGCCTGGGCTTTAGAAGTTTGAGATGGAAAATGGGACTGTAGCATCCCAGTTGACCCAAGGAAGGCGGGTTTGTTTACTTATGATTCATCTTGAGGAAGAGGAGATGCTGAGACAGCTGGGACCTGGTGTTATTCCAGGGGCCAGGACACTTTCTGCCAGACATGGCTTCCAGGTGTTAGATCTTTTCGTGAATACCAGGAAAGCAGTGATCTATTAATAACTTAACCCCCAGCTACAGTTCATGCACCTGGAATTACCATTGTGTAGGTTTCCAAACTTCTTTTCCTTTGACACCTATGTTTATTACTGTGGAGTTATGCCCATGGGCCACCCAGCTCTCCCACACCCAGTGTCCAAGAAGACACTGAATTTGGCGGTTACTATCTTCCCCTGGGAACTTTTGGAATTATTACTGTATTTATTTAATCGTCTTCAAATAAGAGTTTGCATACTTCTCACTGCGTGCTTTAAAAAAAAAAAAGCCAAAGACAAATACACAGCAAAACTAACACAATACCCAGGAAGCCCCCGTGACCTCAAACAAAAATCTCACCCACTGTTGCCTATGACTGTGTTCTCTGAATATGTGAATGAAGGAAAGCTTTGAGTGGCTCTGCATGGGCAACTGCACAGTTTTGGGTTACCCAGGACTTGGCCTCTTTCTTCTCCCTTTCCTGCTGCACCGATTTGGCCTGTTTCCTTGGTTATTGGTACTTCCACAAGAAAGAGGAAGGAATTAAGTTGGAAGGATGATTTCCACTTTCTAGCAACAGTTGGTGTAGAAACCCTGGGCCAGCCAGTGACAGTTTGGGAATATCTGATTATCATGATTTCTACTTTGATTCGTCAAAAGGTGATTCTGTTTTGATGTGAAAAAACCAACCCAAGTTTCATTTATGAACCAGACCAACTCTGACAAGCATGTTCCTGTTCTGCCTACCTCAGTTCTAGGTTCTCTAACTTCAGTGTGCAAAAGATTCAACCAAGGACTCTTGGGCTCTGCCCCTTGAGATTCAGTTTCCATAGGATAACATAGGATGGGAACTAAAAGGTTGCATTTAGCAAATTGTCCCCAGGTCTTTCTGATGCAGATTCACGAGGGGCTGACTTTGAGAAACACTGCCCTGGAATTTGCACTTGCTATTCAGGTACCAGCCCAGCCCTTTCTGTGATTAAATGCTTGGCAGTTAACAATGTGTAATTACAGTGTGTGTAGTTTCCAAGGCAACATGCATCTGTCACTCCTGCAGAGGCTGGGAAGATTGAAAGGGGTGGTGGGGAGGCTGCAGTCACAGGGAGGCCTCCAGATTCGCGCCATCAAAGTGCTTCATCATGACTGGGTTTTCACACCATTTATCCAAGGGCCTTAGTCAATGGCAGCAGCAAGAATGAAAGTAAATGGAAGCCAGAGAGTCACTGGGTGACTTCTGAAGGTAGCAACAAGGACATGAAGAAGGATGAGAATGGCACTCAGTGGCTTGCACCCCCCACCCGTACTCTCAAGTCGGTTTTGTTCAGAATAATAAGGATGTGTGAAGGAATGTGAAATGACCTTGCAAGGCTTCTGAAAACAGTGGTTAACTGTAGCAAACATGTACCTGCTATTCCTCAGTTCTCCACTGGGATGGTGCTGTTAAAGGTCACCTGTTCTCACTTGCAGTGGGCTTGAAGCGACATTTATTGAGCACTTACTATGTTATGGAAACTCATATGGATTATCTTGCCTTTCTGACCTAAGTATCTTTTCATTTTTTTATCTACATGCAAAGGTTACACATTTTGTACATTTAATGAAAAAGGTAGAGTTTGTACCTGTTTGCCAGACACAGTGGCTCATGCCTATAATCCCAGCTCTTAGGGAGGCAGAGGCTGGAGGATAGCTTAAGGCCAGGAGTTCGTGACCTGCCTGGGCATTATAGCGAGACCCCATTCTCCATAAAAAAGGAAAAAAAAAGTCTATACATGTTTTAGTACAGGATTTGGCTTTTGGTTTTAGTTATAAAACTGTATAGGGCAGTGCTGGTTGGAACTGGAGGGCGCTATTCTAAGTGAAGTAACTCAGGAATGGAAAACCAAATACTGTATGTTCTCACTTGTAAGCCGGAGCTAAGCTATAAGGATGAAAAACATATAGAGTGATATAATGGACTGTCGGGACTCTGGGTAGGGAGAGGTAGGGAGAGAGGTGAGGGATAAAAGACAATATCTTGGTTGCATTAAAATCTCAGAAGTCATTGCTAAAGAATTCATGTTCGAAAAACTACCTATAACCCCAAAACGATTGAAATTAAAAAAAGAAAAACACATAGCAGTGAAAAAAGCATTCAGCCACTAGTCAGATCTCAGAGTCTGGTTCTGAATTTCATCATGAATAGGCTTTGTGACTGCAGGCAAGTTTCTAAACTTGTCTGAGGCTCTGTTTCTACTTCTGCAAGATGAGGCGCTTAGACTAGACCAGCAATCTTGACTTTTGAAGGGTGGTAGCCACCTTGTAGAATCCAGAGAAAACTTGGAACCTTCTTCTCTGAAAAAATGTAAATGTATACTTTCTAAAAGATAATTACACTCAATTTCCAGGGGACCACAGGCCCATCTTCAATGAAGAGATTGCTTAAGATTCAGCTGCAACTCAGAATTGCTGAGTCCCACAGGACCCTGAGAGTCTTGCATTGTTTAGAGAGGCCCCCTGAGGAATGAGCTATTTGATGAGGGAGGTTTTGTTGTTCCTGGCATTTTTCAGTAACTGCCCTGTACATTCTGGGGAGGGGAGACAGGAACAAACATCGAGAAAAATACATAGGGAATGAATGGCATCTGGAATATGAACTGTTTTCCTCATCACTTCTTACAAGGAGGTAGATGGCATGATTACAGCACAGAAGATATGTTGAGGAATGACTTGAACGTAGAGATACAGCACTTTGTGCAGTGACAGTTAAACAGTAATTTAGACTTGCTCTACTCCTTTTTTTTCTTTTTTTTTGAGACAGAGTCTCGCTTTGTCGCCCAGGCTAGAGTGCAGTGGTGCAATCTCGACTCACTGCCACCTCCACCTCCCAGATTCAAGTGATTCTTTTGCTTCAGCCTCCTCAGTAGCTGGGACTACAGGCACGTGCCACCATGCCTAGCTAATTTTTGCATTTTTAGTAAAGATGAGGTTTCACCATGTTGGCCAGGATGGCCATGTTGGCCAGGATGGCTCTTAACCTCATGATCTGCCCGCCTCACCCTCCCAAAGTGCCGGGATTACAGTGTGAGCCACCGCACCTGGCAGACTTGCTGTACTTTTAATGTTTGAGAACTCAGTGATATAGAAATCTAAGAAGGTCCAATTCATAGAAGCAGAGAATAGAACGGTAATTACCAGGAGCGGGGATGGGAGTGTGGGGGTGGGGAAGGTGAGGGAGGTAGATGGGGAGATGTTAGTCAATGGGTGCAATGTTTCAGTTAGGAGGAATAGATGAAGAGATCTATTGTACAACATGGTAAGTATAGTTAGCGTATTGTATACTTGAAAAAATGCTGAGAGTAGATTTGGAGTGTTCTCATCACAGTGAAATAATAAGTATGTGAGGCAATGCATATGTTAATTAGATCAATTTAGCCATTCTACAATATATGCATATTTCAAAAGTCCTGTTGTACGCCATAAAAGTATATACATTTTTTACTTGTCAATTAAAATAAATATAAGAAGGAAAAAAATTAAAGTTTTGGTTAATTTGAAAATTTCAGAAGCTTCTAGGGAGTATATGATAAGTGGAAATATGTTATTTACCACTTCTCAGCTGTTAGCTGACCACCTTCCCAAGCCAACCCTGTTCTGTCTCCTTCCCACACCCCAAAGTTGTAATCCAATCACAAGAGAATTTCTTATTTGGAAACCTACACATGTTCTTTTTTTCTCTGCTTAGGTGTTGAAAAGTCTCCTCTAGAGCTTTGGAAGTCTGAATGGACTAAACATGAAGAGCCTGAAAGCGAAGTTCAGAAAGAGTGACGTGAGTATGCGGTGACTCACAGTCTGGCTGTTCCTTCTGCTCCACGGAGCTGCAGAAATGCTCCTCCCCACCTTGATAAGGCACTGCTGGGTTAATAAACTACAGACACTCAAGTGCTTTCGGCCCCAGCTCAGAGTAGCTTCTGTGGATGGCATGCTCTAGGTTCCTTGCTGTTTGTGTGTATAGCTTTCAAAAATAATGGTTTTTTAAATTTTGGGGGTCTGTGCCTTGTAGAGAAAGGAACTTTCACATTTAAACATTCTGTCAAAATATAATGCATGGCAAAGCAATAAAATCCAGGTTCACTTTTAATTACCTTGTCTGAAATGATAGCTGCAAAAGTCCATTTTGAAAGTGACATGCCTTAGCTTCCATTGAATTCCCATCCATGAATTTCTGCCATTCCGCAACTCTGCTCAGAGTATCTGAAAGGAAGTGTCTTAAAGGAAGATTCTTCCTTTAAACATCTTTAAAAGAAGAATCAGTGAAAACCTGAACATTTCTAAAGTTGCCAGAAATCCTCACTCCAAATATTATTTTTAGAAGAAACTAGTCTCTCTCATGCGGGTGGTTCAGGAATGACATACTAGCATGGTTCATCTTTGCCTTTGAGAAAAACGTTCAACTCTCTGTTAAGGCTTTTCTGGGAAAATGGTATCTATTGCTGCCTGTACCTTTCCTCCCCTTGAATTCTAGGAGCTCTTCCTCATTTGTTATCCGTCATAAAAGACTCTGGATTGGAGGAACCAGTTGTGATGTCAGACTTATGAAACAAAGTTTCCCCCAGGAGAAAAGGGAGAAAAACAGCAGAGGGGTTGTACACGATAATATTTTTCAAAAGATCACCCCGTAAACCCTTCTATGATCCCAGTCTTGTGCTAGCTGCATTCCAGATACTTTGAGCAGAGTTGTGGAATGGGAGAAATTCGTGGAAGGGAATTAGATGGAAGCCAAGGTATGTCACTCTCAAAATGAGCTTGTTCAGCTATCAGTTCAGATGAGGTAATTAAAGGTGAACCTGGATTTTATTGTTTTGCCATGAATTATATTTTGACAGCTTGGCACAGCCGCATTTTTGCAATAAATGGAGGCTGCGTCTTTTATGGCTAGCATGTCACATGCACACCTACTTCTGGCTGAAGCTTATCTCCTGAGGCTGCATCATGACATGTAACTTACTGTCCTGTTAAAACCCAGGCCAGATGAGATGCTTATGGGATGATGGCAAAATACCAACCCACTTCAGAAGAAACTGGAAAGGGCTATGAAAAAAGTTGGTCTCACCTTCTCATCCTGTAGGTAAATCAGAGAAAACTCATAGAGTGCAAAGAGGCTTGGACAAAGACATAAAAGTAGCTGTTGGCCAGAGTGAAAGTCCTGGTCATCTGACTTCCCAGAAACCTCCTTCGACCTCCTCATCTGCTGGCTGTATGTTATGCGGCCTACATATCTCCCATGGCTTTCAGCTAAGGAGAAAACGGCAATTAAATGGAAAATGTTGCCCAACTCAGCAGATAGGGGTTTCTAAATTGTGTGACCAGGTTAACAAATGTCTTTTTCCATTCCAGGGGAATCTGGGTAGCTTCCATTTATATAGGTTAAGATTATTTTTAGCAAGATTTCATCAGTCTAGACTTCAATATATCTGAACAGGGGCCCAGAGTAATGATAGGCACACACACTTTTGGTTTAAAAATCAAAAACTGGTGGCAGTACGGAGGGGGTTGCTGGAATCTAGTTAGAAAAACTGAAATATTTCCATGATTTAAAAAAATCCACTGTAATAACACTAGTAAAAGCTTCTGGGATTTGGCAGCAGAAAAGGCTGTGATTTTGGCAGTTAGTGCTAAGACAAGAAATATTGAGAAGCAGACCTGGGGGAGGAGAGCTATGGAAATTGGTATAATGGAGCCCAACAATTTCAAATGGCTCTCCACGTCCACATTGTTTCCGCAAGCCACAGAACTGTACAGCTAAATGGGGGGAATAAAAAATGGCGACAGCAAAAACATTTCAAAGCCCCGTTTGTTAACTGTATAATAATAATGCTAATTGTGTGTGTGTGTGTGTGTATTTTTTTTTTTTTTTTTTTTTTTTGAGATGAAGTCTCGCTATGTGGCCCAGGCTGTGCCATCTCAGCTCACTGCCATCTTCGCCTCCCGGATTTAAGCGATTCTCCTGCCTTAGCCTCCTGAGTAGCTGGGATTACAGGTGCATGCCACCACACCCAGCTAATACTTGCGTTTTTAGTAGAGACGGGGTTTCACCATGTTGGCCAGGCTAGTCTCGAATCCTGACCTCGTGATTCCGCCTGCCTCAGTCTCCCAAAGTGCTGGGATTGCAGGCGTGAGCTACCTCGCTTGGCCATAATGCTAATAATAATTAACCATTAGGTAGTATTAACCAAATGTTGGGAGCTGAGCTAAGCTAAGCTTTTCACGTGAAATTCATTTAATCTTGCCACAAATCTTATGTGGTAGGTATTACTATTAAGCTCATTTTACAGACGGAGACACTGAGGCCTTAGGGACATACAGTAATTTGGGTTCTTAGAGCTTTAAGTTGTAGAACCAGTTTTTACACTAAGGCCGTCTGATTTCAGAGCCCAGGTTTCCTGAAAGAGGAACTTTGGGTGGAGAGTCTATTTTAAGAAACTGGGCAATCTGCTGGCATGGTGGCTCACTCCTATAATCCCAGCACTTTGGGAGGTTGAGGCAGGAGGATTGCTGAGTCCAGGAGTTCAAGAGCAGCCTAGGCAAACATGGTGAAACCTCATCTCTACAAAACAATTTAAAAAGTAGCTGCGTATGGTGGGGCGCACATATGGTTACAGCTGCTCAGGAGGCTGAGATGGAAGGATGGCTTGAGCCCAGGAGGTCAAGGCTACAATAAGTTGTATTTATGTCACTGTACTCCAATCTGGATAATAGAGCAAGGCCCTGTATCAAAAAACAAAAATAAAAAAACCAAACTGTCTGTCTAGGGAGTAGCTTGAAAAGTGACTTTGGACTTGGACCTAGGTTTGTAGCCCTGGACAACTCTTTTACTCTTCTGAACCTCAGATTCCTCACCAGAAAAGTGGAGGAAATAATATTAGCTCCGTAACGTTGGGGTGACAGTCAAATACGTTAAATGAATATCAAAAATCTTAGGGCCTGGTACTCAGGAGATGCTTCGTAAATATTTATTTCTTCTTCTTAATTAGCAATCCACAATAAAAAGTAGGATTCAAAAAGTCTACACTGTCTGGAGGGTAGAATAATTTGGCAACAGTTGCTGCTGCCGAACAGGGAAACTGAGAGCTGGGAGAGAGTGGAGAAGAGAGGCTTGCTTTTTGACGTATGACTTTTATTTTGAAGTTTTTGGTATATGTATATGCATGTCATGCATATATATGTATTGTTAAGGAAAAGCAAGTTTATAAACATTTACATTCAGTTGAATGAACTAAGTTATAATTGTATTTTATTTTTTTACCTGAAACAAGTGGTCTGTCTCAAAATATTTTAAAGCATTGGGCATCATATTTCCCTGCTTGTCTTTGTGTGAGGGAAAAGGAGGAAGAAAGGATTCTTTGTATTTCTAGGGGATAGGAAGAAGAGGACAGCGGATCAGGTTCTGGCGCTTGCATAAAGAAGACAGGTGACCCACTGGTGTGATCGCATTACAGTCAGCCTGTGTCTGGGAGGTCTGTGGCCAGATCAGTTTGTGGCCACTGCGAGCAAAATCCAGGAGTAAATGAAGGATGAAAGTGGCCCAAGGGGGCCTCCTATGGATGGCCTTCAGGTCACTTTGTGACCCTGGGGCCATCATGTGGGTAGAGATTGAATGGGAGTGTCCTTCCGGAAGACGTGGCAGCTGGCACTGTGTCAAAGGCAAATGTGAGTGTGGTAGGGAATGGGCCTGACTCTGCGGACTGTGGTTAGACAGTGTCATTGTCCAGTGGCTTTGATCCTTAAATCTGTTTGGGACATTGCAGGTAACCCACAGAGGCTAAAGAGCATTATGGAATTTCTATGATGGATAACCTTTTTTAGATCACATTTATAACTTTATTTTGGGTGTTAGATAGTAGATAGGATACAGGAGAAATGCAAATATGGTTGTTGTCTTTAAAAAGCTGATAAACCTAGGTGAGAGGAGAAAAAAACGTGTAGGAAATAATTAGAGCAAAATACAAGCCATGTAGAATATAGATACTCAAGGCACCTTTAAGATGATATAACTAGCCAGGCACGGTGGCTCAGGCCTGTAATCCCAGTACTTTGGGAGGCTGAGGCAGGTGGATCACAAGGTCAGGAGTTTGAGACCAGCCTGGCCAACATAGTGAAAACCTGTCTCTACTAAAAATACAAAAATTAGCTGGGTGTGGTGGCATGTGCCTGTAGTCCCAGCTACTTGGAAGGCTGAGGCAGGAGAATCGCTTGAACCTGGGAGGCAGAGGTTGCATTGAGCTGAGACCATGCCATTGCACTCCAGCCTGGATGACAGAGTAAGACTCCATCTCAAAAAAAAAAAAAAAAGATGTAGCTAACTAGTTGTTAAGTTGTAGGGCCTGGTGATAAATGCTACAAATTTTCAGAGGGCTGAATCACTGGGAATGGGAGAATTTGGGGAGCTTTATGGCGGTGGGGCTTCATGCAGGCCTTGAGGGATACATAGGTAAGATTCAGAAGGGAGGTTGGGAAAAGGGGTAAAGATCAGAGGGGCCATCAGGGAAGCCAGCCTATAGCATGGTGGGTTGACTCAGTCTCAAAAATGGCCCTTGACATACAAAATAGTAATATTAATAGTTCAGGAGCCCAAGAGAGTGCCCGTGGCATGGTCCTGAGTATTTCAAGAAGAATACTATAAAGTTTTCATCCTAGTTTTAAAAATGGTTAGACTGACTTTTATGCTTATTAAGCAAGCACAGAGTTGTTAATCATCATTATTTGTGTCTTTTATGACTGTAGCTTGAAAAAGCAGCTTCTTTTTACCTCTTTAAATATTTGCAGCAGCTAGTACGTGGTTCCACATGGAAAAATGAGCTGTCATCATGAAAAATGAGGCCAAAAATGTTGGGATTTCCCTTTGCTAATATAATGCTCAAGCTTCTGGAATTTCTTTGTAGTTGCCAATTTTTAGTGACTTGAGTGAAATGGGTGGAGGTTGCGAATGGGAAATAGGGTTGAAATATCTTTGTAACAAATCTTGAGAAATACCACTCAAACAGGATCGAGGACTTCATGATTTACTTTGAGGGTGTGTGTTTAATTTTATGAAAGGTTTATTCCCAATTATGTTTTCCATTGTAATAGGGAAGCAGTGGACATTCCATTAAAAAAAAGTCAAAACAGCCAGTTTAAAGTGACGGGCTCCATGAGAGATTAAACTGATGGGATACCTTTGCATTGCAGCTACTAACTACTGTAGCTTTCAGCCAAGAAAATGCACACACCCCATGAATCTTGAAGAACCAGACACATCCTGCTCAGACAAAGGTTTTAGTTTGTTGCCTATTAAGATAACAGTTGTCTGCTGGGCATGGTGGCTCACGCCTGTAATCCTAGCACTCTGGGAGGCCGAGGCAGGTGGATCAACCTGAGGTCAGTAGTTCGAGACCATCCTGGCCAATATGGCGAAACCTTGTCTCTACTAAAAATACAAAAATTAGCCCAGTATAGTGATGCATGCCTGTAATCCCAGCTACTTGGGAGGCTGAGGCAGGAGAATCGCTTGAACCCAGGGGGTGGAGGTTGCAGTGAGCCGAGATCATACTACTTACTCCAGCCTGGGCAACAGAGTAAAGTGCAGTCTCAAAAAAAAAAAAAAAAAGATAATAGCTCTCATAAAGGTCGAAAACAAACATCTCTGCCAAGGGTTTTTTTTTTCAAGAAGGGTTTAGTCACTTATAAATAAGTTTTTGCAAATACGCAAGCCTCCTCCCCTCACCACACACACATGCACATACACACAGTGGGAGCATTTGAAATTCAAATCTCTCTGTAGATGTAGGAGCCTTGGCCAAATCTATTTCAAGCTAAGCCTTTTTTAAAAAATGGACATAATTTTTTAAAAACATCAGTGATGACCCCACTGAGTGGAGGTAGGAGACTTTACTAAAGTTCTAGAGAGAAATTTGGTCAAGAAAATATGTGCCATGGACAAGAAAATGTGTGCCGTGCTACAGATTTTCTGGGTCTTTTCAGCCTGTTTTAAATGGGAAATCTGCTCATCGCCTGATTTTGCCTAGTATTAGTTTGCTGGAACTGCCATGACAAAGTGTACCACAAACCAGGTGGCTGAAACTAAAGAAATGTCTTGTCTCAGAGTTTGGGAGGCTAGAAGCACAAGATCAGGTACTGGCAGGGTTGTTCCTTGTGAGGGCTGCGAATCTGTTCCATGCCTCTGACCTAGATTCTGGTGGTTTGCTGGCAGTTTTTGGCTTGCAAAAGCCTTACTCTGATCTCTGCTTTCATCTTCATGTGGCATTCTCCCTCTGTGCATGTGTCTGTGCCGATTCCTCCTTTTCATAAAGATGCCGCTCATGCCGAACTAGGGCTCGCTATAATGACCTCATTTTAGCTTGTTACCTCTGTGAAAAGCTTATCTCTAAATGAGATTACCTTCTGAGGTTGGGGGGCATTAGGACTCCAGCATATGAATTTTTGGGAGGACACAAGTGAACCTGTAACACAATTCCATGCCCTTCCATCCTAGAACAGTTTCTCGGAAGCCTTGGCATGCCCCCACTGAGCTGGCACTGCCATAGACCTTAGCTCCACTGTTCATCCTTGGGACTATTTTCAGCATCTAAGAGAGTGAGGTTGGAGATCACAGTTCTTCAGAGGGTGCCACTGCATAATATTAATGTCAAGAGTGAACCCATATGGATGGCTGACTTTCTGTAACAGGAAAAAGGAGCTCTCATGGACTGAATGCTCACTAGGTACCCGGCACTGTGCTAAGCCCCTTTGTATGCTCTTTGTCATTTAATGCTTATAAAACTCTACCCAGAAAAGACCATTGCTTCAATAGCAATTGATAGAGGAAGAAATTAAGGTTGAGGACACGTTAGTGACTTGGCCAAAGCCACGCATTTGGTAAATTACAGAGAGATGGTAACTCTCTTGGTTTTTCTTGATGGGAGAGAATGTGCTGTCGATCACAGCACTAACCTGCTACCGAGTTGCACATTCCTAAGCTGCATAAAATAGATATTATGCTGTTGCTCTAAGCTGAAATAAGACCTGTGCGGTGATTTTACATCACCACTAGTCCATCCATAGTAGCAAAGCTCACCGATGTTAGCATTATTCTTCCTGTGACAGGGGAAGATTCTTTGTTTCCTGAGAGCCAAATGCATTCCAGTTCTGAAGTGAAGAAGGGCAGATGCTGCTTCTGCTCTTCCGGTGGAGCCAATAAAACATCTCTGTCTACATGGAGCTCCACTGCAGGCTAAATGGGTCATAGCTTTATTCTGTTTACCCCCGACCATAATTCTCAGTTAAACATGATACCTTTCCAGAGGGAAACCAATATGAAATCCAGAGCCTGGCCCCTAAACTACTAGGAAATCTCCTAGTCTACGCAAGTAATGAGTCATGTAGATCATTATCTCTTACATCTTTATTCTGCATTAATTACCTGATCATTTTGAATGAAGGCTGTTCTTGACCTACATGTTTTTTGACAAATTCTTTTATGAACTTCTCCTTGGGGATGAAACAGAAATTGCTTCTGAATCATCCTGTCGATATTTTTAGTTGAGTTTCTGCCTAAAGATCTTTGCTTTGTGGAGGTGGTTATTGCAAATTATATGGCAGTACAGGGGCCAGCATTGGCCAGAGGCTCAGTACATCTGTAAAGATGACGTTAGTGACTAGACTTGGCTTTCTTCTTGTTTGAGTCTCTCCCTCCTTTTAAAAAAGGAAAGTCAGTGTGTCCTGGTCAACTTGATTATTCAACTATTAGAGCAGTTTTTATTGTATTCATGAAAATGCTTTCAGTTTTTGGGAAGCGCTGTCTGAAAGGATTTCATTTTTATTTTCTTAGGGGTTTCCAGTTGCCTCCTGCCTCCTGGGCCGCCCAGTGGGCTGGTTAGCTGGGAAGTGTAGAGGTTTATAATGTAAGAATAGAACAAGAAAAAGTTTAAGGAACCACGTGTTCTCCTCGGACATGTTTGTTCTAAGGTGTATTTCCCAAAGCCGAGAATGTTTCTGTGGCAATTTTTCAGACTTAGGCTGTGGTTTTGGAGGGGTTTTTGATGAGATTCAGTGTGAACTCATGAGTCTGTTCATTTGTGTGTGTGTGTGACAGTGTCTCACTGTGTCACCCAGGCTGGAGTGCAGCGGCACGATCTCAGCTCACTGAAACCTTAGCCTCCCTGGTTCAAGTGATTCTCCTGCCTCAGGCTTCCTGAGTAGC